TTAATAGAGAAAATTGTAATCTCTTCTTTTGACAGCTCACTCTTTAGTTCTTATGTAGCTTATGTTCACAAGAAGTTTTGGCTTTGTTAAAAAAATTACGTGTTCTGACCTAAATGAATTGATTGTTTATGGTATTCATGACACTAAAGTACAAAGAGTCTGTAACTATGCGAAATTTTGATTTAATTTCAGATTTTATTTCCTATTTGGGTACTGTCACGAAACCCTTAGCTGTGACAAATATTTCTAATTCTAGTTCTGAAAAAATCAATCGCTTTCAGCACCTGGAAAAATCAGATCAGAACAATTCAAATCAAATTTATCTTGCTTTAAATGCGGGCGTATAGAGCATCAGAAACGTCACTGTCCTTTACGTAATGTCTCGCAGCATTTCAAGCGAGATAAGCCATTAAAAAATAATTCATTTTTTAAGTCAGTTAACCAAACTCAGAACGAAACCATAACAAAAAATAATTCTCTTAAAAGTAATAAATGTAACTTTTGTTTAAAGTCAGGTCACACGATTGATTCTTGTTTTGTTAAGAATTCCATTGACAAAAGACGCAACGTAAACTTTATTTTATGAGAAAGAAAGAGTGTGCCTACGAAAATAAACATTAATCAACCGATATGGGTTTATTGAACAGCCCGGGTTAATTTACAGGAAATTTCTATGGGCATAACTCCAGACAGTTTATTTCAAAATATAAGTTCGGAACAGATGTTAAAATTACAGGCAAGCCAGCTCAGTCTAGGTACACGTTTAATATTTGTTACCGATTATAAAGACGCGTAGGGTACGTATTATAAAGCGACAGTTACCGGGTGTTTTAAAAATTTCCGTGGATTTTGGAATTAGTTTAAATCAATAAAAAGTACTTGAACAATATCGAGTTGAATTATGCCAGATTATTAAAATAAAAATAAAAATTACTACAATTTGTGGTTTACTAGTTTTTCTGTTTCTGCAGTAAACAACTGTGCTATGGAAATTAATTTAATTAATAATTTTATTGCCATGTCGACTTTTAGCAAAATTGTTTCACAGGGTTTGATTTATTTTAAGCAACTTTTAGTAGCTTTAGAAAAAGCATGGTTTTTCCTAATTATATGAAAATGTTTTTACAAAAAAAAAAAATGATTTTCTTGGATGAAAGATCTCCGCCGAAGATGGTAGATTGGAGTAGAGAAAAATAGAGGCGTTGATAAAAATTTCGTCCGAAAAATGTTAAATAAGTCAGGCTTTGGCCGAGCGGGTTATCATTAGTGGCTGATTTGCAAGACTCAATTTTTTGAAACTGAAAGTAAAGTAAATGTTTTCCAAGGTTAATCCTTTCCTTTCCATGGTCCTTAATAAATTGTATTTCCCAAGGTTGAAATTATACCGTTTCCCAAGGTTGAAATTATACCGTTTCCCAAGGTTGAAAGTATACCGTTTCCCAAGGTTGAAAGTATACCGTTTCCCAAGGTTGAAAGTATACCGTTTCCCAAGGTTGAAATTATACCGTTTCCCAAGGTTGAAAGTATACCGTTTCCCAAGGTTGAAATTATACCGTTTCCCAAGGTTGAAATTATACCGTTTCCCAAGGTTGAAATTATACCGTTTCCCAAGGTTGAAAGTATACCGTTTCCCAAGGTTGAAAGTATACCGTTTCCCAAGGTTGAAATTATACCGTTTCCCAAGGTTGAAAGTATACCGTTTCCCAAGGTTGAAATTATACCGTTTCCCAAGGTTGAAATTATACCGTTTCCCAAGGTTGAAATTATACCGTTTCCCAAGGTTGAAATTATACCGTTTCCCAAGGTTGAAATTATACCGTTTCCCAAGGTTGAAATTATACCGTTTCCCAAGGTTGAAATTATACCGTTTCCCAAGGTTGAAAGTATACCGTTTCCCAAGGTTGAAAGTATACCGTTTCCCAAGGTTGAAAGTATACCGTTTCCCAAGGTTGAAATTATACGTTTCCCAAGGTTGAAATTATACCGTTTCCCAAGGTTGAAATTATACCGTTTCCCAAGGTTGAAATTATACCGTTTCCCAAGGTTGAAATTATACCGTTTTCCAAGGTTGAAATTATACCGTTTTCCAAGGTCGAAATTATACCGTTTTCCAAGGTTGAAATTATACCGTTTTCCAAGGTTGAAACAATACCTTGTAGCATGGAGTCAGCATACTTCCATGATGGGTAACTGCTAAAAGTATAAAAAGCAGTTACATTTATTTAATTTGAGATTACTAAGTTGTTGATGTATTATAGATGCAGAGGAGCCGAAGTCCGATGATAGGAGTTTCGAGAACGAAACACTGGTCAGTCCGGCCGTGTTAGATTCGTGCAATATTCAAGACGCCGCCACTGCCTAAGCGATACTTGGATCTTGGATATTGGATACACACACATACGCACTCGGCGAGTAGAAGACCGAAAAATCAAAAAGACACTTATGATCGACGTGGGTTCATATGCACACGTTCGACGCTCTTTGAATTTTAATTAAAAACGATTGTTAATAACTTTTTGGGTAATAATACATTTTATAAGAAGTGATTAAGTGTTTAATTTGGTGAATGTTTATATTTTAATAAAAGACGTATTATTTTATTTAAAAAAAATCCAGTGGCTTGAACAAAATATAAACTAATAATCATTAAAACAAAAACGATCAATTAAATCTTAAAATAGACATTTTATATGTAGTAATTCAATCCTACATACTTACTTTTGTAAGTCCATGTACTATTTAATATTCTTAAAATTCGTTTCTCGATATGTTTTGGTATTAGGAAAAGGTAATATGAGAAGATGCTTCAGCGCACAGCTGGTTGTTATTTTTTTTGTCAGCGTTTTCGAGCCGCACTTAAAATTATTACAGTAAAGGCACTGATTTATGATTATTAGCCATGGTATGGATTTCGAGTGATTTAGGTTACTTGAAATTTAAATAGATTCATTCTGTTATTCTAGCGTTTCTGAAAGGTACTGTTTGGTGGTTGTAGGTGCGGTTTGTGAAAAACTTGATTTATTGTGAATTGTGGGTGATAGGATTTGCAGGTGAGATTTATCACTGAGTGTCCTTTTTCTTTAGTATTTGAGTTTTTAGATAAATGCCTTTAATATTTATTGATATTTAATTGTTGATTAGATTATAAAGATAACTGTTTGAATACTGATTTAATAATTATTCGTGCGCACATAAAAATGATATCTGGAGCGAACAATTGCGCGTTTAATCCCTTTTGTTCATTGCACGGCTCTGATTTTGACCTTCGGGGTCAAGCTCTAGTAGGTAGGGCGAGTATGTCGCGCGTTTAATCCCTTCATTCTCATTGCACGCTCAATACTAGTAGAAATGTGGGGCGTATCGCGTGTTTTATCCCTTTACGTCATAAGGGTAGTAACTAGGCAGGGGTCACGTCGCGCGTTTTATCCCTTCGTGACCATATTTCATACTCCTAGGTACTATGCCTTAAAAATGAAATAGACAAAACAGTAATAAATACATTGCGTGTCTTAATCCCTTTATACTTGGTGATTGTTCGAATAATTATTGAGATAATAAATGAATGATAAGATAATAAAAGATTATTCAGATAATAATAAAGATAATAAATTATTACTAAAGTAATGTTCACGGACACTCACGAGTATTTTCTTCTTTATAGGAAAACCCGACTATGTGCACTAAATGGACATCGCCTCGACCATCAAACAAAACATCCTGACACTTGTTATTTTGTTTTATATTGTTTGGTAATTATATAAACATTTATTAATTTGTCTTTTCACCTTTGTTTACTAAATTAAGTTTTATATTTATCTAAACATACCTCTCTCCCTCTCTCTATATCGCTTTCTCTCTTCCTCCTTTTTCTCCCTCTTACACTTTTTTAAATGTAAGCCTCTTTTTGACTTTTTCTTAAGTACAAGGGACATTTTTAATAATAAACACAAAACTCAATGAGAAATAGTATATATAAAACAATAAGTCACTCAAAAACAACACTAGGCACAGATCAAAAACACGTAAAATGACTGGTGTAGATATGGCAATAGTGCATAACGAGAACGCTCTATTTCCATGCATCATCTAGTGAGTTTTAGCGAAAGTTTTTTTTATAGTTTGAACTCCAGTAGAGAGGTTAATAGTTTTCTATATTTATAAAATATGAACGTATTGCTTGTAGAGCCATCTCGCGTTGGCGAAACGAAAAAATGCGGGTCCATTTAAACCTTAATTTCTGAATCGTTTGTAAGTATTTAACAAGAATCCTGGATTTGTGAAAGCAGATTCAGCTAATTTAAAAACGTCCACAAACGTCAAATAAGAGTTAGAACAAAAATACAAACCACTGAAGTAATTTACGCATTACGAGAAGAAAAAACAAATTATTTAAAAATATTTGGCACTATTGTAACAATATGTAGTTATTTTATAGGATGCATTTAGGCGGGAAATTTCATCAAAAATGGTTTTTCAATCCCAATTTTCTTCTAAATGCTTAATTAAAACGATAAATGTTTTCCTGTTAAAATAAACATCATTATTGTTTTGACGTATTGAAAATTCCAATGAGTTGTTTATAGTCCATTACATCCAATGTCCAAGAATATAAGTCGGCAGCAGGATTCATGAATATAAAAAACATTCGATAGTGTATGGCTTGCTTTATAAACTTCACTTAAACAATTGCGCACAATACCTAATTTTTTAAATTACAGAATTTCTGGATAATTTCGCATAATCTCCATGAAATCCAATAAAATTCTATCATGAAACTTTAGTATACATCAATAAGTCCCCAGGATTTACTATTGTCTCCCTCGCTCTATAACATTATCTGTTATAATCTATACACTCCTCTCAACAACCCCATAAATTTGACAAAAATATCTTATACAACTTGCTGACAATACAGCTCTGATAGCTTATGACAAAAATCTTCTAGGTGTCACCGTTCAAAAATATTATTTATAAATTATTTTTTAACTTTCAGATCATACCTGGTCCTCTTCCAGAACTGTTTGACCTTCTTAATGCTGCCCTTTCGGCAGTGCGTTGCTGATTGTTGAGCGTCACAATACCGTTGTAGTTTCCTGGGCGTACAATGTCTTTTTGCGAACTGTTCTCACCCATATGTTTATGAATAACAGGAGTGAATTCAGGATCGCTCCTAAAAATTATCACGCATTATAAAAAAAAATTCATAATTAATCGAATTTACCTCAGAAAATCGCACAGTCTTGATATAACTTTGTTGTAAGGATTAATTTCTCTAGTGCGGACCAAATCCAATAATATGGCTAAATGTTCTGCGGTGATTTTTTGTAAATTCGGGTCTTGTTCACAGGCCAAAGATACCATAAGTGGTTTTACTACAGGAGTTAATTTTTCCGGAAGCGCTTTGAACATCACAGCAGCGCAAGCCAATGTAGCTGCAATTACCATAAAATGTAAATTTTTGACATTTGTTTTTCTATATTTTTAAATGAACTTATGTTGTTATATCAATATCCTAATTCTAATAAGATGTATCACAAATGACTAAAATTTTATGGGAGATCAAAAAACTGTTTATTATCAATACTAAATAGATAGATGTTCAATAAACGACATATTAAGTATGAACAAAATTTTTGTGATATATTATCTGGGTTGAAGTGGAAGGTGACGAGATATTTTCACTCATTTTCAATATTATGATAACAATAATAAAACGAGCGAAAAATGTGGGTTACGTCCTATTAGAATTAGGGTATCGATATACAGATTATTTTTAATTTTGATTTAACATTGCTATATTGGGAAGTGTAAAAAATAAAGAAGTGATTGAGTGACGAAAAAAAGTTGCACTAACTAATGATCAATGATCTCTGGATCGTCACGATCCTATATAACATTTAAATGCCCTTTTCATTATTTTAATCTTATAAAAGATTATAAAGTATTTATAATAGTATCTAAATTTACTCTTTGCTTTACAAAATAGTTTATATTTGATGAAATTATTGCTCAACCTTTTATGGCCCGCCACTGGTGTTACATTTCTTTTTTGTCCTTTTTATCCAAAATCGCACCGATCACGCCTTTTGAAGAAAAGTAAGAAGACAGTGCTAACAGATACTAAATATCTAACGAAGTACACCACCATTTATTTCACTTGCAATAAAATATCGAGTTTCAAAGAATACAAAATATAAAACTTGAAAACAACTAATTAAACGCCACGTGAATCAGCTTCTTCAATCATACAGTCCAATCCAATTTTTGTTCGAGATTTTGTTCTTGATTATATAATTATATTTCAATTAACTTACCTAGAGTACTAATATACAATGCGTTTTGATCCTTATTGGTCTGCGTCACAGAAGTCTGTATACTTTTTCTTCTTTCCTCTAGGCTCTCTAAAACCTTCGATTTTAACTTAAAGTTGACTAGAATCTCATGAGTTTGTGGCCCTGTTAAATCTTTAATTTGTTCCAATGTCAGTACATTGTCATTTGCAACAGTAATCGGAACTTTGTAGTGTCTAAGGGTAGCTAGAAAGTCTTTAGTCTCTTGAGCTAATCTAGTGAAGCTGTGAGCGATTTCATCAAAGTATATGAATTCCTCGAAACACTGGTGAAGGCGGCATACAAGATTAGGGGGACATGGTGTCGTTTGTTGGTCGGCTTTAGCCCATTCAGAGATGACCAGACCTAAAAACAATGAAATAATAGTTAATTTATTATTTACTTAAAGTAATGGATGAAAGTATTAGTCTATACCGATAAAAAGTAGAAAAAATAAGAAAGGACAGTCTGAGCGAGAAACTATAATCACAGAAATTTAATTCAATTACATGGTGTTAGAGGCATTTTTGAAAATGTTTTATTGGTTTTTCGTAGTGCTAAGTCAAATTATAGTTCCAATAAAAGACATTTTTACATTGTCTAATGAAAATGTTAGCAGCTGTATTATATACTCTTCACATAGTGGTCTGTGACAAGTAAGTATTATAGATTTACCAAAACTTGAATTAAGCTCTATAAGGGGAAGAAGCCTATTGATTTTGAAAAATATTGAATAAAAATGTGGATTTAATGGGTGGGGATTAAAAAAATTTCAAATCAAAACCGAAAAGCGATATCAAAATGAAATTTTTAGTAAAAATCAAGCTCAATAAGGGGAAGAAGCCTATTGATTTTGAAAAAAATCTGATTAAAAATGAGGTGTTAAGGGAGGGGGGGGGGGGTTCAGACTTAAAAATAACCAAATCATAAAATGAAAAACGATATCAACTTGATATCTTCAAGAAAAATCAAGCTCTATAATGGGACAAAGTCTATAAATAAAAATGGGGGGTCAAGGTGGGTTGAAATTAAAAAAAAAAAAAAAATGAAATTGTTAGTAAAAAGCAAGCTCTATAAGGGGATAATCTGACTAAAAATAGGATGGTTAAGGAAAGTTGAAATATTAAAAAAAAATCCTTTAAATGCGATGCAACTTCTTTTATTCCTGATACCGATAGAATATGAAATGCCAGGGTCGCTTTGTATAGTTGAAATTGGTAAAATATCAAATAAAATTTATTAAAATATAAAAAAAAAACATGAATACATGTATATTTAATTAATTATTTTTGGCTAAAGTTAAAATCTGAAAGTTTTTTAATTGAAATTTGACATGACATTAAAAGATCTTTTATTACACAGGATGAGAAAAAAAACAATATCTTCATTTTTTTAAATGTATATATCATTTTTTTTTATTATTTCATTATCTATATATAAATAAATAGGCAAAAACAAAACAGTTCAGTACCATTTTCTCTTGTTTGTTAACCGATTTTCTTTTTTTTAATTTTGTTAGTAGTTATTGAGGAGCTTTAGTTCTATTAATCAAAATAATTTGGGAATAGTTAGAAATTTCGACCACTGGGCCAACACTAGTATTCTAAAATAAATGAAATTCGTGTTTATTTCCTTATAATATATATTTTGAACATCAACTTCCGGTATAAGCGGAAATGGCAGAACTGGCAAAATATTTTAGATGGAAAGAACAAGTTATCTTATCTGTTTACTGTTTTTATCAATTGTTAATAAACTCCATTGGTTTGTTAGAAACAGAGAGTGCCCCCCACCCCGCACCTCGTCGTATATGATACATTTTGATTAAATATATAAAAAAAATCCTTATAACTTAAATATCTACCAAATTAATGATGTACAAGTTTATTTCTATATATGTCTGCATATTTATAAAAAATAAGTATTTTTTTAACACTATTATTGTGTTGACATTATTCATGATTTCACGTGTGCCGCAATCCCTTAGATATATTAACCCTTCCCACGACAGCCATTTTGTTTGGAATGCTTGAAAAATCGTTAAAACATAAAAAAGTGAGTAGTCATGTTGTTTCTTCTTTTTTAAACTATATTTTGACATAGTTTATAAAAAATTCAGATAAATTATTTAATTTAAATTCGAGCACACACACTTTTCCATTTTTGAAAAATTTGTTCGAACTTGTTCTCTTTTCAGATTTGTCCGTTGGACATGTCTGTGGACATTTCCGAGCGACCCATCACTAATTATTATATATAAAACACCACCCATATTATTAAACTTATATAAAATCTTTGTTTATATGCTATATTGTTTAACTGTAACATTTTTTTATTATACTGATAAAAAATATTTACCTGTCACCATACGTTGTAAAGCAGATTTCGAATGTAGATGTACTAAAAGGACTTTTTCGTAAGAATCTATTGGAGTATCTAACCCACTTGATGTATAATCTACACCCGGAGCAGGTTTCGTTATGTAACGAGACAAGAGTCCCAACATCCTAGAAATTGTGCATCGAACTGGTATGGCATTTTGTTCTCGCGTAGCAATTGGCGTAGTTTCAATTCCTAGAAAATAAATATAATAAAAGTAAGGTTATCCATATCTCAAATGTGGTATATCCGTAAAGGAAAAGAAAAACTTTCACCATTCCTGTTTAATACAAATATAATACCTTCAAATATGTATAAATTAAGAGATTATAAGTTAATGAGCCAGCATCTGTGATATTTTAGTGTTTAGTATTATATTCTAGATATAGACATATATTTTTGTAATTTTATTTAATTGTAATGTGCTATTAGCTGTGCTAAAGAAAAGAGATTAAAATAAAATAAGGGTTATTATTAATTGTTGTTACCTCCGATATACATTTTGGGTGGCACAACGGTATGGTCAAAACTGTTTAGCCCATCAGTCTTCTTCCTTTGCGACTTGGCTTGTATTAAAAAATTAATATCAAACGGTGTTCTTACTGGTTGCATGCTCAAATACAACCAAAGCGTTATGAAAGGACAAGCGGCATGTAATAATTCCACCAATCCAGAATTCGCAACTAAATTGTTCCATACTTTTTCGGCGACCGCTCGTACGTCAGGGTTCGATTCGACGAGTACTCTTTGGTATATATGGCGTAAGGCGTCTTGGAGGAGTTGCGCTTCCCAAAGAATCGTTTCGGAATCCTTTGGTTTTTCAGTTAATGTACCTGCGAACAAGGTGAAAAATTTCGGATTTCTACAAGGTAGATAAAAAAAACAAGAACAGACAGCCAATTTATGAAGAAATAAGCTTCTATGAAATTTCCTGATTTGTTGGTATATTTCAGTTGGCGACTTCCTAAACAATAATGTCCATGGATACAACTCAATCCTATAACTAGTTTTTAAAGTTACAAATTGACTATTTTTTAAAAAGGCTAACAAATTTTGATATAACGAATCTCGATATAGCCACAGTTGGTTTGTTCCAACACAATGATAAATCGACTTACGACCAACTCTGGAAATTTCGTGATTTTTGTTTTGATAGTATCGATTGTAGTCTCGATCCAAGGATTATATATTATAATCAATCGTAATTTGGTTTTCATTCATCATTATTTATAGTCTAATATTGTATACGTGTATCTGTTGATTTATTAATAATGAGTAATGAATGTCGAAAGTGAAAAGGACTATTATTCTGGTTTTAGTGACGAAGACATATACTTTGAGGCACTTTTAAAGAGTAAAAAATGAAAACAATAAAATAGAGTTTAATGTACTAACCAATCGAATAATCAAAATTTATAAATCTTTTATTGAGTTTATTAATTTCAGTTTCCAAATTCAAAATTTAACATTTACTAATTTTGTTTTGACTTTGACGTTATCGGCAGAGTGTATCTGACAATACAAAAATGTGTTCCAACACATCCAAGCTCCCAATTGAGTCCCAATTATGAAGACTAGAGAGAAGGAAGCGAATCGAAAATAGACAAATTTCCATTTTTCTTTTTATAAAGTTTGTAAAAAAAAAGTCGCCGAGCTTGTAACAAAAAAACAACCTCGTCATTCTACCAAAAAAAGGTCCTCAGCTTATATATTTTTGTATAAACCATGTCCCTTCCAAAGATATGTACTGCAAAAAAATACATTTGCCGTAAACAGACCATTTTAAGCTTTAAAAAGCCACCTGGACATTTTGCTTCAAAAAAGGACAGGTAGCAACCCTATTGGCAGAGTACGTTGATTTTCTATGTAACTCAATGTGAAATATAGTGTTTTTTTATTTTAAATTGGTGAAAATAATCAAAATAATGTAAAAAAGTGTCTGACTACAAATAACATGAGTGAAAAAAAAAAACATCAAAGCAAGATTTACTTCGTTCCAGGTTATAAAACGAGATATAAATCAGGCGTAAAACTAAAGAAAACACAAGGAAAAATCAATTCAAAGTCTTTTTAACGCTCCCAGTGTAAGTAAAATAATTTATTTATTTCGAAATATAATATTTATTGTAAACTAGTCAAAACCGGTATTTTACAGAGCGTAGTTTATTTTATTACAAATTTCTATAAAAGAAAATGTTACAATTATAAATCCCCACTTACAAACAACAATAATTATTACATTTAGCTTACTAGAAAATAAAATTTATTTTAATGTCAGATGAAGAGTTACTACTATTATTTTTTTGTTTAACCCCAATGTTGTCATTGTAAATGTTTTTTATAGGATCCTAAACGTTTAGTACAGTGGCAGCATATTATTACCAGGGCTGATAAAGCACTTACTAGAGATGTTGCTGTTTGCGAGCTACACTTTTTAGAAGATATTTCCAAATATTATTTTTACTGATGGTACTGTTAGCAAAATAAAAAGTAGAAGACCAAAATTAAAGGATGAGGCAATACCATGTATATTTGGCTATTAAAACTATATTTAGGTATAATTCAAATAAATCTAGCCACAAAATTGTACTTACCAAATTTCACTATTTAACAAACCATATCGAATTTGGTCATACCCAATTTGCATTTTATATAGATAAAATTAAATAATTTATTACTTAAAACATGCAAGACATATTTTGAAATAAATACTACAATATTTTCCGTACTGTATTTTGCAATAAACAAGTTTATTTTTATTATTTTTACAAAATAATGTGAAATTTCCATAAGAAGCCATGTATTTTTAATATCCTTAGCAGCACAAGCGCTCCTACGGTGAATTGTAAAAGCTTAATTTGCGTTCGATTAATTAATTAATTTCGATTCGCCTCCTTCTTTCTAGTCTTCATAGTCCCAATCCTCGACAGGTCGTGGACTATCAGTCATCGACAATAAGTTATGGACCGGTTTAGATATGTTTCCAAGATTGTTGTTAAAACAAACTGATAGTCTTGAAATCATGTTTTGGGTAGTTAAACGAAATTATTGTGTGAAAATTTGCCGAAAGCAGAATATTTTATTCATAACCTTCCATTGCTTGACGAGTTCTAGAAATTTGCATTTGCCTAATAATTTGTGTAATGATTGAAGTATCTAGTATATACCGGATGTTACTGTATTTGAACGACAACATTCTACATCAGAGAGCTCTCGTTAATTGATGAATTTTGATATAATAATAAATAAAAATAGAGATACATATAAATATTTAAAATACATAAATAATATTCAATATCTACAGTACTTGTACTTGTTTCGCTGTAATATAATAATTAAATAAAAAAATAAATAAATATTCAAATATATACAATAATATACTACATGGTAACAATAAAATAATATGCAACAAATTTATATATGAAAGAAATAATATACACACATCGCCAAAATTCTTGGACCCCCTCGTAAATATTACAAGGAAATATTTATCATGGCTGCCTTTTTGTACATTTAATCTTTATTTATTTCACCGTTAATACACATCGAAAAATGTTTACAAAAACAATTTTCCACAATTTTAGGTACCAATGTTTAAAAAGTGGTTCATATCGATTTAGCGTGTTTAAGTGATTGTTGAGTTTTTCTGTGCAACTACGCCTGGCAAAAGAAATTCAGTGTTAAATAGAGCAATAATAGTAGCTTTGCATGATAAGATTCTGCCGAATCATCGAATCGCGGATAGACTAGGGATTCCCCGCGCTTCAGTTATCCGAATAGTGCGTTTGTACAAGGAAACTAATCCAAGAGTAGATCGTTAAATAACAGGTTATGTACGTCGGAATCAAACCATAACAGTCTCAGCTGTCCGAACTTATTTTAGAAGAACGTATGGTCGATTCATTTCCAGTACCACAATGCGGCGGAGACTTGCTGGAGACAATTTACGATGTAGAAGACCATTAAGAGTACCCAGGTTACTTCCCAAACATATAGCAGCTCGTCTACAGTGGGCACAGGAACACAGAGACTAGCTTTTAGCTCAGTTGCGAAATGTCCTTCTTTCGTACGAAACCAGATATGGTTTAATTAGTGATAGTCGGCGACACAGAGTTTGGAGAGGGCCAGGACGACCAGAAAGACTATCTTTTGCCAGAGAAGTCGTTCCATACCAAGGAGGAACAGTTTGGGGAGGCATAATACATGGTCGTCATACGCAGCTTATTTCCATTCCAGAAACTATGACAGCTGATAGATATGTTCGAAACATTATTAAACCCATTATTTATCCTCTTCGAAATGAAATTGGAGTCAATTTTATTTTCATGGATGACAATGCTAGGCTCCATCGCATGAGAAGAGTACAAAATGCACTAGAAATTCAGAATATTCAAAGATTACCATGGCCAGCAAATTCGCCAGATATGAATCCCATTGAGCACATTTGGGATTTCGTTGGACGAGCAATCTCAAAGAGAATTAATCCTCCCATTACCCTTCAGGAACTCACAGTCGCGGCCCAAGAAGAATAGAACAACATCCCAGTGGATACCATTAACACCCCTATTGTTTCCATGCACAGGAGAGTTAATACCTTACACAGCGATTATTAATAAATTTTTTATTTCGCTCTTAAGTGGTTTTCTTCTGGATTTCAAATTCTAGTAATGATTTTATTATGCACTATTTTGCGTTTATATTTTTTTTTTCTTGTTCAGTTAAAATTTAATTCATCCAATTTGTATTGGATACATAACCAAATTAAATGTACTATGTAACACACTTCTTAACTTTTAATAACAGTGTCTCATTTTGACAAACATAAGGGGGTCCAAGAATTTTGGCGATATGTGTATATTAGAATCAATCATAACTGGGTATATGGGACGACAGAAGGAAAATTGGGTTTGTCAAATCCAGATAGTACTATGTCAAGTTGTGTAATGTATCCATGTATTAGTCTATTAATCCGATAAGTATTGATAATTTTAATGTTTTTTATTATTTTGTTTATTTTTTTACTATTATTAGTTAATTGTATTGGTATTATTTAGTTTCTTCTAACATTTCTAATTTAAATAATCTTGGTCTTTCTAATATAAAGAATTTCAGTTTTTTTTAATGGGAATTTTACTTCAAAATAGGAGTAAGCTCATTGTGAAATTGACTTTTTAAGTATTTCTGGATAAGTAAGTTTTTATTGTTACGAACCTGTAGCTGTGTTTATTAGAGGCTTTGATATTTGAGGTTTGTGTGAAAATAAAACAGTTGTCTTAGGTCTAGTACTTTAGTTTCAAAGTGTAGACTGTCTGGAGCATATCAAAAACATTTTTCCCATAATTAATGTATTGCAGTATTTCTAGAGGATTCAGATTCACCCTTAAATCCCCTCCCCATACCGGTATTGCATACCTTATGTGGCTTTCGACCAGGGCGAAATATTATTTTTTTTAATTCGGTTTCTGGTAAGCATTTTTTTAGTTGTTTAAATTTAAATAAAATCATTTGCAGTTTTTTTATTACAAAATTTACGCGACTTCCTGTCTTAAATTTGAATCTATATATACCCCTAAATATTTCATCTCATTTACAGATTGGATTTTTATCACATCTCCTCAAATCCAAATTTCCAGACTTTCAAAAGGTGAGAAATTTGTTATATTTAGGTTTACTGTCAATGACTTTTGATCGAACCAATTCTTTATAGAACAAAAATCCAATTTAACTTTGTTTTTCAGATCAATCAAGGTTCCCGCCTCATAAAAAAATGCGGTATCATCGGCAAATCCAATAATGTTTCTAGCACTGTTGAGTTTAAATAAATCATCAACATATAAATTAAATAAGACAGGCCCCAAAACAGTGCCTTGGGGTACACCACATTGTATACATACTGCTCCCGTAAGCCAAAAAGCGCTAGCTTAAAAAAACATTTTTTAATGCATCGGATAGCTTGAAAAATTTCGCAAATCTCACAATTAAAGAAACAAATTTAAGAACATGTGTACATCTCAACTTCACTTGTATTCACTAAAAGGCTTATTACTAAGCTAAATGGCTACATATCAAAAGAACTTCAAAAGTTATTCAAAAACAATAAAAAAAATTTAAAGTAATCCAGTGATACCTAAATTATTTTTTCGACTAGGGGAACGCAAAAACAAACAACTTTTAGAAAATGTGTTTTCTCTCAAAACTCGTTTCAACTGATACCCCTATTTGACTGTCAAATCACAAGTACCTGTGTCGACGTAAGATTGACTCTACAGGTGTAATTGCACAAAATTTGTGTTTGCAGATTAGATAAATTGGGGTGTATCGTTGCAGCGTTGCAAATCGGGTAAGAATTGGATGACAAGGTTATACTGGACATATTCTATAATATCAGTAAAGCATTATTCTTGGAAAATATCTGTAACCAAGCTATACATGTTAAGAAGCCCAGTATACCAAAAACTAGTCATAGGATTGAGTTGTGCCCATAGATAATCAATAATTATTGCAAATCTTTTTTTTTTAATATTTCTTTTTTTAATGTTGGTAAAAGTTTTGGCTATCTACAGACTCTAAATTATAAATTAATAAAAATATCACAAATTGAGTAATTTAAATAACTAGATAAGGTATTTATTTATAATTTTCAATGTTATGATTAGGACAAAGTTGATTCATCAAGTATATAGGTTAAATAAAGAAAAAAAAACTGCTTACATAAAGTCTGCAATGTTGCTTTTCTTACACAAGACGTTCCGTGCGACAAGAACGGCCACAATCTAGGTACAACATCGTTCAACGGCTGAGGCGGCAGAAGTGTCTGAGCGTTTGGTAAGTTCAAAATAGCTGCTAATAAACCCATGAAACTGTTACAGGCCGCTGCTAGCTCGTCTTGTTCAGCTAATAATTCCCACAGCTTTTCTATCACTAACGGTACGGATTGTGGAACTAATTCCGTCAATTTTTCGGCAACCGGAATTAGAGACGAGGCAGCAACAGCGCTAACGTCGTCTACAGAGTCAGACAGTCCTTGAAGAATGAACGGGAAGCTCTCGGGGAGAAAATTGTCTATCATGTCATCCCTTACTGCCAGGAGGTATTTTAGTCTGAAATTTCGAAATAGAAAGTAGTTAAAAACTAATTTTAATGTCGTCTTTAATTTGAAAATTGATAATTTTTATTAAACCTACCCCAACAACCCTCCATGCCTGGCTTCCCATTCGGTATGGTCCATGAGCTGCAACAAAACCTTCAGAACTTCTAAACAAGCTTCGGGCGGCATTAGCTTTAAAGCTGCACACAATGCTTGCGCGCAAGTCTCTCTAACGGGTGCTACCACCGCGTCGGAAACAAAATCGCCGAATCTATCCAAGGCCAAAACGCACAACAGCCTTATTGCTATGTCTTCGAGCCAAATTTCGTGGTTTATCTGCATCTAGAAACATGAAAAAATGTGTAAGAACTTTTTGTATATTTGCTAGTCTAGACAATTATTATTTCATCGCAAATTACGTTTTAAAACTGTAGACTGCCCAATCAGAAAGACATGGATGTATAATATACTCAATCAGAGTTTCTACAGTGCTGTCAAAATCAAATTAATTCTTTTTCTGGCACTTTTATTAACAATTCACCATTCCAAAGAAGTTTGAATAGACATAGGTAATATTAAACATAATGGAAATAGTATAACAATAAATAAATATACTCAATAATCAACTAAATTTAATCTTAAAATTAAACAACAAAAAAATTAAAATTGGTAATTGATACATTTTGATAAAATGGGTTTACCTGTTCGCTTGGAAGGTAAGTAGCCCTTCCTGCTCCAAATCCATGGACTGATAACACTTCTCTTAGGGCAGTAGCGGCCCCATGTCGAGTTTCCCAATTAGAACTAAATAAGTCTTGACTCAATAGATCACAGAACCATTCTAGAGGCCAGTCGCCAGCGTCACCTGCTTCCAAGTCTAAAAATAAATATAATATAAAAAGGAATATCACCGGTAGGAGTCAAGAATACATAGAGTTATTCCAGGTGTTCATTTATTCCACATTGATGAGTGACTGCTAGGAGATAAATTAGATTGGACAGTGATTAATCATCTAACATGTGGTGTGAATGAGTGTGGCAGTGGAATACCTAAATGTTAATATGACACAACACCCTTGAGGGAGTCAGTGAAGTCACGCTTAAATCTTGGAGACAGATTAGGACTAGGGTGATACTCGAAGAAGGGATATCCGAAGGCAGAAATAGAGAAAACTAATTCGTCTGAATTTCTTACATCAAAGGCAAAATTTAGTTTAAAAAAGAAGAAACGACAAATGTTTACTGGCTTTTATAATGTTTTCGTTTCAACAGACTCCAAGATATGACCATTTAAGTTATAATCAAAAATATATAGTACTTGGTGCTTGGGATCGATAAAAGCGCATGACATGGCACTTTATGGCATTCAAGTCAATGTCATTTAAGGAACATCAGTTTGATAAATTATCAAGGTCAGACTGAAGTCAGAGGGCATTATAAAATGGTTTTAATAATTAGGAAAACTTTTAAATCATCTGCAAACAATAGTGCTTTGCCATACTGAAAACAATGAATGATGTCATTTATAAATAAGTTGAATAATAAGGGACCAATGTGTGATCCTTGAGGTAACTTGAAATGAGTTAGAATAGTGATGGTTTACTCTAACCATTTGAGTTCTAATCCATTACGACCCCATTTATGCCATATTTATCGAGCTTTCGAAGTAAGAGAGAATGGTTGACCCTGTCAAAAGCCTTAGAAAAGTCGGTGTACACCGAATCTATCTGGCAACCTTTCTCCAAAGCTTCCTACAGGAAGTCGACGTAGGTAAGTAGATTTAATTCAGTCGATTTCCCAGCAAAAAAACCATATTGATGATCCGTTATGATGCCAGAGCAGTCATAGGTAAGGTAGTCTGTTCTAAACTCATACACAATTGGCACATTATTATTGCGGTGGTGCATATCGCCATACTTAGTCTGTTGTTTACCCATATATTTCATAAAAAGTTTGCAACATAAAGCAAACCAACAGTATTATAGGTGTACTTTCTAGAAACCAACATTTTTAATATTGGTCCAAATTTAAAAAGGTTTGTACTAAAATCCTTATCATCAAATTTTAAACAACTTTTAAAAATGTCGGTTCGTCCGTCCGATGTCACGTTTTTTGTCCGCACGATAAGTTAAAAACGAAAAATGATATCAACTTGAAAATTTCGGGAAAATCAAACTTTATATAAGGGGACGAAGTCCCTTGATTTTGAAAAAAATCTGAATAAAAATGACCAATAAGGGAACTCGGAAACAAAAAACTATATCAAATTGAAATCTTCAGGACAAATCAAGCTTTATAAAGAAATTGATTCTAAAAAAATCCTGATTGAAAATGTGGGTTAAGGGGGTTTGTTAAACTGTGAACAGTAATATATACAGGGTGTTTCAGAATGCAATGTATATACGTTAACTGTAGGTGGGCGACACTTGGATGATTCGAAATCATCCGTTATTAATAGGTCTATCACATCTCAATACTCAACAATCACTCAGTATAAATAATTAAAATTTGGAATATTTAAAAAATAATGCCATACAAATAATAATTAGAATTCAGGTCCGGCTTAACAAAATTTGACCAGTTCTTTCCGCTCCAAAAGCAATATAATCAAATTTAGCATATCTGATTAAATATCTCAAAAGAGCGGAAAAATCAATTTAGGTAGGTGTCCCTTAAAATTTACGCATGTTGTTTTGGAGGCACTAATTTTTGGATAAAAAATTTAAGATTCCAAAGATTTCATTAATTAAAATAAAATAAGTATCTAAATTTTGTTGTTTGATAAATTCTAATTCAATTGTTTTAACAATTTTTATTTAGTTGGAAATATCTAGTTTCTCGATTAATTAAAACAACAGTAATTAATAAAATTAATCAAAGGCTTTTATTGTGTAATCTAAAAATGTGCTTAAACTGAAATAGCGAAAGTTAGTGATGCAGGAATGTTTTTGATTATAAAAAATATTTAGTTAATTACTTGCTGACATGTATATTGAAATATGTCTTATCTAAAGTTGATTATGTTATAAGGAAACATGCATGACTATGAATTGTTTTAAAAAATAAATATGGTGACTCCTCCGGAAAAAATAAATCATTATTTATAATAATTTTGCAATTTTTTATGTTACAAAAATTCAAAGTAAAATAATAAACTTACAAAATGATAAAGTTGTACCTTCAAACGCTACATCATTAAAACTCACCGAATTGAATAGCATATTCCTCTTTCACTTCGGTTTTTGGTTTCTTCCTTTCGGGCTCCTCAGAACTATTATCATCTAAAACATTCTCTCTTGAACGCTGTTTGTGCACAGCCTGTCGAGCTTTCCTTTTGGCTCTGTTTATTTCTCTTAAACTCAGTTCTTTGTTTAGGGGAGATATCACCTCTTGAATATTTTTCTAAAAATGAGGTAAAATATACAGAGTGGATTACTGAAATAGTCTAACCCGATATATGGCAGTAATTATAATATTAACAGAGTACTCTGTGAAGAGAAATCAAAATTTTGTATATTGATCAAAATTTAAAAATATTTGCATAAAAATGTCAGTCCGATGTTACGTTTTTGTCTGTATAATAAGTCAAAAACGAAAAATTATATTAACTTGGAATTTTCAGGAAAAATCAAGCTTTATAAGGGAACGAAGACAATGATTTTAAAAAATTTCTGATTAAAAATGGAGTGGTTAAGCGGGGTTGAAATAATCAAAGGAAAAAACGATATCAACTTTATAAGGGGACAAAGCTTAATACTTTTGAAAAAATCTGAATAAAAATGGGGGTTAAAGGGGTTTGAAATTAAAAAAAAATCAGAAATCAAAAAAGTCGAGCTCTATAAGGGGATGACGCCTATTGATTCTGAAAAAAAAATATATTCAAAATTGAAGAGTTAAGGGAGGGGTTGAAATAATAAAAAAAAAAAAAACCTGTCTGAGAAACAAAAAAAATGTCAACCTGAAATATTTAGGAAAAATTAAGGTCTAAAGGGGATGAAGCCTATTGATTCTCGAAAAAATCAGAAAGGGGGAAATTGTGAAAAGCCTTATTCCAGTTATTATGTTAAAGTCAATTAGTCCAAAGGGAAATTTAATAATAATTGCCAAATATCAGGGTGAACTATTTGCAGTGGCCCATTCTGTATATATTTCTTTTATATTTAGAAAGGCTAGACTAAAAATATACCGGGTGTCTTGAATCTCTTAATACAACCAATATCGCAGTTAACTTACTGTACCTATAGTTCGGGACACACTGAGAATGTAGTATGGCCAGGCATAGGCAATGTATATATATAAAAAAAAATATTAAAAAAAAAATATTAAAAAAAATTAAATAAAGAAGAAAAAAATATTAAAAAAAAAACAAACCAACTTTAATAAGAATGACTTTGATAAATAAAATATAAACCTGAACAAATTTATTGATATATACATATATTAAATGGCAATATCCTCGCACTGAAAAGTATCTTTAACCAAACAGCGCTAAAATTTATTTTACAGAATGGAGCCGACCAACAAAAAAAAAATCTTCTTTTTTGAATTTGTAAGGCCACATTAGCCAGACAAATCCCCTATAATCTCTAACGAACAATTAACTCGATACATTGGGATGAAGATCGGTTGAAACGCCTGGCAATTGAATTTACTACGCAAAGATCTGCGGCTCATTTTCGGCGGCTGAACTTCTGCCTAATGTGGCGCTAGCCTAAGAATTCATATGTATACGCATATTTAAACCCCACGAATTTTTTATAATTGCCAAAATTTTGACAATTAATTACTCTATAACTTTTTGGGGTTGGTTCAGCTGTGATTTATTAAACTCCATGTTGCAGACATAGAGTTTAAGAAATTCAAACGCGGACAAATGATCCATGTGAGTGCGAAAATTGTGATTTTTAATATGATTTGTTATTTAATCAATGATTATAAATTGAGTGTGACTGCAGCATTAAGTCGTGCTTCCAAAATGAGTGTTTTTTAGTTTAATAGTGACTTTTTCATAAGTTTTGTTTACATTTTCTAGGACATTTTATTTCCTAATACCCTGTTAAATGAGTGCTAATGAGTGGGGTCAATAAAAAAACAATGTATACCACCAAAAAGAGGACGAACAAAACAATGGCGAATTGAAATCTCCTGAAAGAAGAAAAAAGCTGATAAGGTAGTCAAATTCTCGCGAATATACATACAAGGGTTTTAAGAGCTTATTGAGAGAAATTGTGAAAATTTTTTTTTAATGGAATTTATATTATTCAAGGGAATGAGAATTCACTATCGTTCTCTTTAAGATCCTTATGTAAATTGATAAAAGATATTGGTTTTGAATATGCGAAGCGTGGTCGTAAAAGTATAAAGTTAGAACGAAACGACATCATTCATTGGCGGCACAGTTATTTAAGAGCCATCAAGCAATATTGTCAACAAAATGGTAGTGTTATCTATTTAGATGAGACTTGGGTCAAACGGTTAATAATAATACTCTCCCTAATTCACCGCCTTACGATAACCCCAAAAGCTATTAGGGAGGGCTATTATTATTTGCCGTGGCGCTCCGGGGCGACTTAAAAATGATTGATGGTGCCATTTGACTTACAGGTGAGGAAAGTCCGGAAACCCCCACCCACCATCATCGAAAACAGTAACGCATGGTAATTTTTATAATTTGGATGGCATACCAACAGAAATTCAATTTCTGCTAATACGGCATCGATCAAATCCTATAGCGAACCATGCAAATACATTCACATGGTCTTCCGTAGGATTCGAAACTGGTATATTTTACCACAAAATTGGCTCGCAAATGAATGCGGCGCCTTAGGCACCTACTCTGCCGTAGTCGATTAACTATGCATGGTGCAATAACACCATAAAAAATCGTAGAGATGCTTTTATAAGGGTTTACCACAGGCCTCAGAACACCTAACACAACGACGTCTACGTTTCGTTATTGTTCATGCAGGATATAAAGGTGGATTTTTATCTGGCAAAGAAAAACGATTGTGATTATCATGACGAAATGAACGCCGACTATTTTGAGCAAAGGTTTGAGGAGTCGCTGATTCCTGTTTTACCCAAAAAAGGATGAAATAACGTTACTGTTATGGATAACGCTTCGTAATTATTTCCGTAAATTTAGTTTTCCAGCTACCTCATGGAACAAACCCGAAATAAAAAATTGGCTGTTTGAAAAAAACATTTTCTTTGAAAACTCCTATTTAACATCTGAGCTGCTTTATTTGTAGACAACAGAATGTTCGTTCATTGGCGTAATTGCCAGAGGCAGCTTCTCCATAACCAAATTTATTTCAAATATTCAATATTTAATAATAACCTTTCTTTAAAAAAGGTACAATTACATTTCCCAATTATTACCAATGGAGCCAAGATTACTAATGTCTAATAAAAATTCATACTTGTCCGATACGCGGTTAGCCCAGTTTGGACGTATTTTAAATTGACCTCATGGGATATATGGAAATCCACAAAGAAAAAAGTAGACAGATATAACAGCATATGTGCCCGCTTTGAGTTAAAAAGACAAGTATTTGTCGACGGCCGGCCAATATATCTATGGCAATGCATTTTCCCGAAAGCGCCTAGGCCTACGCAGCATCAACATCATAGTTCCGTGAAAATAAAAACCCAAACAAACGGTTCGGCTTAAAGTTGTTTACGTTTTTAGTTGTTTCGTCTTGTGTTTCAGTGTATTAATTTTTTAAATGTTCTTTTTAGTATTCATACATCAAAAACCATGCCAAACAAATCCAAAAGCGTGCAAAATCGGTTCTTTATTGCACGCCGTGTATATAAAGGTTGCTACGTTACTGCTTCAATAAATAATTAGATTATGTCAGATTTTATTTTGAATTGTCAAATTAATGAATTTTTTTACAAGTTTATCTAAGCCTTGGTTTCTTTTAACACTTCGTCGCGGTGAGCTGATCAGTCCGTCAACCGTCGCGTTTTGACGACTTTACGCCCATATGCACCGTTTTAAAATTTAATCCAGATTTGCAAATCTCGTTTAAATGGCTAGTGAATATTTTCTATGCACCGGCTACGTATTAGATAATCGAGTTTAGTAATCTGACAACACTGGAATTTTATAAATTTCACAAAAAAGAGAAGAAGAAAACGTCAGATTTGAGTAGGAAAAATGTTTGTCAGAGGATAAAAGGCCTTTGAAAATAGAAGCCCTATTTTTAAAATGTACCAAAACCGTAAACACGCCTTAAAACGCATACCGAATTCTATAAAATAATTTTATAAAAATAATTCTATAGTAAGATGGCGATTACCATTATGGTAATTTTTGGTAATTTTAACATTTATAGGTACATACAAGCTGCTGTATTTCAAGCTTTTTTTATGCAAAACGATATACCTATGTGAATATTTTATTCCCTATACTGTGCATGTTCAAAACTAGATATGACATATTATCAGTATTTAAATGTGGACAAAATCAGATAAATATATGTACCTATTACTTACTTTTTTTTATATTTTTCAATGTATCTGGATTTGCCATCTAACTACAGAATTATGCTGTAACGTTAGAATATAAAAAACCTCTTAAAAATGACAAAGGTTGCCCATCGTATGAAAATATTCACTTCTCTAGTAATTTTGTCAAGAATCTTTATCATCTTACAAGAAAATCTGGTATTCTATTTCCGATTTTTATTAAAATTCAAATAAAAGAAACACAAATAGAAAATCGGATTAAGAATGATTTTTATTACGGTGCATCGCTAAAAATGGTACTAAACGCGATTAAACCCTTAAAGCCTTGGTTTCTTTGAACACTTCGTCGCGGTGAGCGGACAGTCCGTCAATCGTCGCGTTTTGACGATTTTATCCAACCAGAGTATTTAAATGGGAATGGTTTTCTTGAATCCGCTTAGCTGAACAGGACGGCGTCATGCCGCTGATTTGTCGCGAAGAGTCGGTTTATATCTGTTGAGTTTGATATCAGCGGAATCGTCGGCGTGTGCGGAGACTATATTGTTATTAATTTTAAAACAATGAGTGACAAATTCACACATACAGATGACATCATGACTTTATTTTTAGGTTTCTTGGAAATTATGTCCTTTATAAAACTCAACACGAATTCAAAAAGATCTGTAGAAAGTCTAAAATACTCCCTCAATTTGGTTTCATTTCCAAAAAGCCTCCGCTGCACAGTGATATTAAAGGCACCTTCTGTATCGCGACACAAAAACAACTCATTCACTGGCTTATTGGAAACTTTGACGGTTGCAATTGCCAGTTCCTCTTGTTCTTCCTCTTCCAACAATAATAACAATGCAAACAATTTATTTGCAACCATTTTAGTACCTTTCGTTTACATTCATAATACATAAACAGCACGTACATACATAGAGAAAGTATCATTTTCTATATTTTTTAACAAACCACCTCGGGCGAAAATTGCTGTCCTCAGCGGTCGACGGACTGTCCGCTCACCGCAACGGAGTGTTCAAAGAAACCAAGGCTTAATCTGGATTAAACGTGTACGGTGCATACGGGCGTTATCCAACCAGAGTATTTAAATGGGAATGGTTTTCTTGAATCCGCTTAGCTGAGCAGGACGGCGTCATGCCGCTGATTTATCGCGAAGAGTCGGTTGATATCTGTTGAGTTTGATTTCAGCGGAATCGTCGGCGTGTGCGGAGACTATATTGTTATTAATTTTAAAACAATGAGTGACAAATTCACACATACAGATGACATCATGACTTTATTTTTAGGTTTCTTGGAAATTATGTCCTCTCAACACGAATTCAAAAAGATCTGTAGAAAGTCTAAAATACTCCCTAAATTTGGTTTCATTTCCAAAAAGCCTCCGCTGCACAGTGATATTAAAGGCACCTGTATCGCGACACAAAAACAACTCATCCACTGGCGGAAACTTTGACGGTTGCAATTGCCAGTTCCTCTTGTTCTTCCTCTTCCAACAATAATAACAACGCAAACAATTTATTTGCATCCATTTTAGTACCTTTCGTTTACATTCATAATACATAAACAGCACGTACAGACCTAGAGAAAGTATCATTTTCTATATTTTTTAACAAACCACCTTGGGCGAAAATTGCTATCCTGAACGGTCGACGGACTGTCCGCTCACCGCGACGGAGTGTTCAAAGAAACCAAGGCCTAAGATCCATATTTATAAACAAAACTCAGCTGAGTCGGACTTGGGTAAGTCGTCCTTGAACTGAAATCAAAGTTTGGTTATATCGGGTGAATTTAGAGATAGGTAGTAACAAATCCGTAAATGTACTTAACAGTTACATATTTGCTAATAGCCATCTCTAAATTCCAGTGTAACACCGGAACCACCTGGAACTTTAGAGAACTTCGATTTTAGTTCAGGAACGACTTACCCAAGTCCGAGTCAGCTAAGTTGTGTTTATAAATACGGACCAAAATCAAGTAACATGAACATTGAACAGAAAGATTATTTTAATAATTAAGTGAAATGTCCGAACGATATTTACCTACCCACTAGATAAAATGCATGGAAATTATTAATTGAATTATTCAATTGAAATGATTGTAGTTATTACTACTATTACTATTGTAATTACGCATTCATACTAAAAAATATCGTATGACACAATGCATAATCGCCTTTAAAGCATTCGCAACTGGACCGGTTTTTTTTTATTTTCCCGAACCCAGCATAGCGACGGCGGCAACGGCTTGCTTCATAAGACTTCACATCAGGGACGACTACTCTTTAAAGCCGCATGGCCGCGCGCCCATCCTCAAAAATACCATAAAAATATTAACTTATTTTATAATTTTTCATATCATCTCGACACTTGCTATGAGTGTTATTTATTTTGTCCCTTCCAGATCTTTCCTATAATAACAATTTATGACCCCTTTGACTATAGACGGCCGCAGTAAGATTGAGGCCCGCATCAACATGGAAATGTGGTGGGACACGCCCTAACCAGTACGTCTTGTAGTCGGCTGTTTTAGTGCAGATTAGGACGCCATTTTTTCTCGGCGGACCAGCATTTAGAATTTAGATGATAAGAGGGCGTTATCTCTGATGAGGCGTTTAGCTTTTTTAAAGTTATTTTATAGTTTTCAAGTAAATTGTACGAAGCACCATGCTAAATAATTGACTAAACGTCTTAGCTATGATATTAATAAATAGAAATTTAGTTCCAGAGATAAAAAAATTCGACGAAAAAGTCATGTAAAATGTTATTTCATTGAGGGATCGTATAGCAGATTTTAATTTCAGGATGCGAGTCATGCCATGAACTTTCGTAAAAACAATATAAATATGGCGATTTTCGTGTTCGTTTTTTTTAGAACAATTATGTTTTTAAGATAAGAAATATATTTCACTTTGTTTATTGACTATTTACAAGGCGCAGTGTGCAGTGTGGTATTTTTTCTATACCAATAAAAAAAAATACAAAATAAATAACAAATTTAGCGGGGTGGGTGGCTCAGTGGTAGAGCCTCTGCCTGTGGATCCAAGGATCCCGGGTTCGAATCCCACCGTTGGCAGGAATTTTTTCATTTAATTTAATTATTTAAAATTAATTCTGATGCCTTGGTAGGATTCCCCACTCGATCATTCACTGTTGGGTTCTAATTAACAGTGCTGTTCCTAAAGTGGTGCTGGGAAACAGTAACAAAGCCTACACAGAACACGAGGCGAAATAACCTTAGCAGTTGAAGCCGATGGCACAAAAAAAAATAACAAATTTTCCATAATCCCCACCCTCAAGTCAATTGGTGCCCCCTCACCTTCGCAGCTCACGAGCCGGCACTGCTTCACACTGCATTCTCAGTGTGTCTCGCAGTATAGTAACTTCTTTGTATTTCATCTACAGTATGTCCCCCTAAGTTGGAATCATATGGAAAACTTTTTTATTATAAATTTTAGGAGAAAAAGTTATTCTCCATAAAAAGTTCTGCATTATCTAAAACCTAGAATACAATCAAATTTTTTCAGTGGTATACGAGGTTTGTCAAAAAATGAGTTTTACTCAAGAATAAAGTATCTTTAAATTTGACAATATCGAAAATTTTCATTGAGAAAATTGCTAAATTCTTCACAAACATCAAGAAAAGGAAAGCGTATAATGTTTACACTAGAGAAGAGAAAGAAAGAATTATGGATTACCGTAATTAGGTGGATCAAAATCTAGAAAAAATCTGATTTTTCAGATAGATCGGTGTAATTGCATATTTGAATGTAATTTTCTTAATAAAAATTTTCGATTTTGTCAAAAATAAACGTACTTTACTTTGAGCAAAATTCATATTTTTTGACAAACCTCGTATAAGGCTTGAAAAATTTGATATTTGATGACTGTATTCTAGGTTTTAGATAATGCAGAACTTTTTATGAAGAATAACTTTTTTCCTAAAATTAATAATAAAAAAGTTTTCCATATGATTCCAACTTAGGGGGACATACTGTATGTATTTGAGCCTTAGTTTTATAATTATATTCTAATTTAAGTTTAGTACTATAATGTTTAACACATACGGCCATTAACTTCTTATCAGGTCAATAAAAAATCATTTACACCTGCAACTGTCAAAAATGTGCTTGCCGTTTCGACTATAGAGGATGCTTATGATATACTAAGTTATTAATTTTAAATGGTTATTTAATAAAGATAATCTATAAAAGAGTCTTAAAAAAATAAATTATAACTAATGAATTTCTTAAAAATAATTTTACATCATTTTATAATTTGCGTTTTTCCATTACAATACATATCAAAAAATAAAAACTTTATATCATAACTGATAAAATAATTACTTTGTTTTGCATTCAAAACATTTTAAATTACCATTGAAAATTAATGATATAACAAAAAGAGCAACTAAATTTATCGTTATAATAATTCTAGGAAGTGCCGGCAATAATATTTACCCTGACATTATCACAGTTAATCTTCTTATCAGAATTATTAATCAGATCTTCATTGGTAAAGAGATTTGAAGTGTCGATTCCCATTTGGGCAGCCATATTGAGACCTAATCTGGCATTTAATTGTTGTCGTTGTTTAGCCATTTTTTGTTTCGAATCTAAAAATAAAAATATTCATGAAAATTATATTTTTTTTTAAATTTTACTAAATACCTATTGATAAGTCTTCTTCCATGTCAAATTCTTTCCCTTCTGAAGCCATAAGATGAGTACTGTTTGCCAATACAGTGTGCATGTTAAAATGGCTAAAGCGTAGTCTTCCAATGTCAGATAGAGATTGTAAATGACCATCTTCGTCTGAAATGAATAGTATAGTTAAATTAAATAAATATACCAAACAGAAATCAATTTCTGAAGTAAACTGACTAGTATGCAGAGAAAGTAGAATAAGAAACATACAAACATTAAAATAAGCTTGGTATGCATTTTATTATTTTTACCACGGTTATTAATAGAAGACAATTGTATCTGAAGAGTCATTTATCAACAACAAATGCGCCTGAAATGCAGAATTTAGCAATAATTTCTAATATTACTTCTATTTAAGGAGTACGAACTAATTCACAACTCCTTGAAATTGACAGTTCAAATATTGGCAAATTTATTTTCTTTCGAATATGTTTACCTGGTTTGATGTCGACTCCAGGTGGATTCCACTGCGGGACATTATACACTATGGCTCTGACAGCTTCCGAAGCCGCTATTCGAGTTTCCCAAGAAGATGATCTCAGATAAGCAGCGGTTCTCGACAGCAGAGTCTTTAGTTCATGAGGATGCAACCTCTGGACTTCTCCTAGCTGTTTGGCAGCTGCCGAACGGGTCACGGACGAGCTGCCATTTTCCAAGAGAACAAATAATCGATCTAGTCTGGAATAAAAGTATAAAATAGAAACAGAACACAATATCAGTTCTGTACGAAAAAATTTAAAAAATGTGTAGTCGTTTGTAATTTTAAAGATTTTACCGCATCTCGAATATTAACAACTTTTTAATATAGTACAAACAAAAAAGAAGAATATCTAATAATATTTCGCAGAAAACTATCTATAGATGTAAAGTTAAAGGAGAGACAAGTATTAAAATAAAATATATTAACCAGGTACCCAAAATAATCACCTTTACTTTGCTAAAGTATGTAGTAAGACGACCTTCGCTGATCAGCGGTCTTTGTTTGATACACATATGTTCCGTTCCTATTATACTTTGTCAAATTCATGCCAATAGCCAATATCTCTAAGTACGTGATATAGGATGCCCCATACTGCATATTTCTTTCTTATCAGTATTATGGTTCAGAGAAATTATTAGTGATGCTATGCTGTTCCACAATGAATATTTAGTAATTGAGGTCTCTGTGTTTTCCAATTTAACCCTTTACCCTTTTACTGTAATTTAAAATTATATAATTCGTAATTTTGATACCAAACCGTAATAATTAAGTGTTTATGTAAATTTAGATCAATAATTAAAGCTATAATCAGATAATGAACCTAATAAAATATTTCGATTCAAAGTTCAAAATATCGTTACCTTTTATAATGATACAAAAACGTAGATAACTTTCTAGACTTGATGTAATATCTATTATACAATAAGAAACAAATTTCAATAACATTTTAAAAACAGGAAAAAATCTGATATGTTCAACACATGACTTTTCTGTCTAGTTATTACAGGTTTTTTCCGATTATTTTGTACAACCTATTGTATCACTCTGTAAATGTTTAGAGGATTTTAGGGGACCCCAAAACGTAAAAATCCGTCGAAAAATCATGATTCCTATACTTTACCTAATATCTGTATACAGACAGGAAAGTAAAAATGTAGTATTGTGTCTACAAAACATGTACTTTTAAACCAGAACGATCAAAACCAGCAAATAAATTGGTGATAAAATTCTACCTACGCCAAATTATATCATCTTTTTGATATGTGAATTTCCGGAAAATGTCTTATCTCTTCTGTTTTGCAGTTTAGAACAAGTCTGTTTTGTTAATGCAGCATCTTTCGTTATTGTATCATTCTTAAAAGTTTTAATTTCGGCTGTTTTTAATATAAATAATTTTTAGAAAGTAGTTTTTATGATTGATTTTTTTTTTCATACACACATTAAGAAGCCCTTAAGTTATTCTAGAATGGATTATAAAGCGTAGCACACATTTTAAGATAAGGAAATTCTAGTAATTTTGAAATATATCTAAAATTTAATAGTAGGATTCTTAGTATATTTAAAATGTTATTTATATTATGATTTCAATGTAAATGACTATCAATAATTGTTTCTAAATATTTACTTTTATTTGATATTTGATTACAGTTAAAGGCACCTGGTTATTGCTGATGATTTCTGAGATATCATCATACGCCGGTAGCCGGTAGATTATTTTCATAGCATGCTAATGCAAATAATGTTTCCTTATAAATTGTTAGTAGTTTATGATTAAACCAATCGAAAATAGGTTTTAAATCATTTTCTACAATTAATTTTAATTCCTACCAGCTATCCACGGAATAGAAAACAAAACTAATTACTCTGCCCTGATGATTATTAGTAGTAAATTGTTAATATCGTCACTCAAAGTTCAAAAGGTCGTTTGACGAAAAATTTTTTTTCCGCCTACCTCTATCTAAAGTATACATTTCCTGGCCTCATTGCAGGGAGCAAAGTTGTACTTTTCCTCCCTAGGGAGGAAAAGTACTTTTACTCCCTAGGGAGGAAAAGTAAAAGTGACGTCATGGTATGTCATAAATGAAATAGCTTATACGGCATTGACGACCTAAACTATATTCTATTATATAAGTATAAATTTTACCGTTTATTTATAGAACACCCTGTATTTTGCAAAATAGTAAAAATCAGTAAATTATTATTTTAATTTAACGACTTTTACATTAATAATTTGACTTCAATTCATAGATTCATCCGATTTTCGAATTTAGGACAGAAATATTATAGCATGCTATGGTCGATTGACAGATCAGTTTCAAAGTGTGTTACGCTATAATATATCTACAAAATATAAAATAATATTTAAAAAATGAGTGATTCAAGCTAATTTGAAGACATAAATAATACACCACCGGATATTTTGGAACAGGTTAATGCAACAGTACAATCTCTATTACCCCAAAAATCTAAAGAAAAATACGAAAAACAGTATTTACATTTCAAGCAATGGGCCGAAGAAAGGCATATTCGTACTTACTCAGAAAATGTTATTTTGGGGTATTTTTCGCTATTAGCAAATACATTAAAAGCCTCTACATTGTGGTCCAAGTATTCAATGCTACGTACTATGCTTCAAATAAAAGAAAATGTGGATATTAAATACCCAAAATTAATTGCTTTCTTGAAAAGACAAAACCAGGGATATAAACCTAATGAGGCAAAAACCTTCTCAAGAGAGGAAGTAAATAAATGTTTACTAGAAGCCCCCGATGATAATTATTTATTAATGAAGGTAAGATATTTTAAAGAACTAAATATATTTAAAAAATAAAAGTTAAACGGCAAATATTATAATAGAGCTACAACAATACGCTATTTTTAGAATTCGGCAAAATTATTTAAAAATGACTTGTTATTTGAGGGAGGCGGAAAAATCATATGTATTACTTGAGAGTTAAGTGCCTTTTCCTCACTTGGATGTTTACTGCCCTCCGCTTCGCGTCGGGCAGTAAACTTCATCCTGCGGGAGGAAAAGTGGCACTTTCCTCCCTAGTAATACAAATAGCTATTTTTATTACTAAAAGTGAATTTTGTGATTCCCAACTGGTAGCAAAATAACTGATAATGGATTTTATTTGTTGCACTAGGTGTAAGTTTTCTGCACTAATCGCATTTGATTTGTTCAGTGTAGCTTCAAATATTTGACACATACTTGAGTGTAGTATATATTTTTGACAAGTAATGACAGTTCGAATACAGTGTCGAGTGTGACACTAGTGCAACAAATTATTACTCTCCCTAATTCACCCCCTTACGAGTGAATTTCAACCCCTAATTTTTTTACGAGCTTTAAAGCGTCTGGTGGACGTGTCTGACAATAAAATAAATGTTGGTTTTTACCAGTATTCTGTAAATCATATAAAAACCAGCTATTATACTGTAACGTAAATTCATATTTTTCCTAATTTTAATTAACTATTTAAATAACACCCTGTACATAAAACTTTGATTAATTATGTCGACAACTGGTTTTAAAATTCAAACATGCAAACAAGGTTGGTTAGTTAATAATTATTAAACATTAGTTTATTAACAATAAACTATGCAGAAGTTATCAAGGGTAATCTCGAGAGGACCCATAGGGCTTTTCCACAGCACAGGATCTTCCCTATATGAGTCCTCCCTTGTAGGAGATTCCCAGTGCGGCTCCAAATCATCGAGACTCCGACCGGAGGCTCTGGATCTTCATAGTAGAAGGTTAAAAGTTTTTTTGTATTTTAAATAACGGTATTGAATTTTGATCAAGGGTTGTGGCGTGTTCCCCAAAACTTGAGTTGGTAAATTAATTTGTTTGTATAGATATTTGTTATAGTTTGGTCCGTATTTGTGCATGTTGGTTTGCGACCTATTTTGTCAAATATATTTGTTTTTAGAACACTGTGTCACTATGTTTTCTTCAGCCCTTCTACAGAGATGTGTAAGGTTCTGATACCAAGAGTAGAACCCTTATACAATTAGGGCTACGAAGCCAAGGTCAAGACAAAGAGTGGTATAATTATTGGCCACACCCTAAAAGCATTCATTGTGATTTTATCTAAAGACCACGTATAAACGTGACAATACTTTGACATAGATGAGTAAGGTTTTTTGCACCTTTTGTACCAGTTATCTGTAAAAGGGTCCCGCTTTCAAGCTAGCAAGTACGCATACGTTCTTGAATAAATATTTACACTATTTATTCTCAAAATATTAGCTATTCTAAAATGACGCAATTCAAGGGGCTTTGGGATCTTAATTAAGGATCTATTTCCGATAGTTCCCAAGATTTATTTCAATTTTATTTCATGCTGGCTCCTGGTAAATATTAAGAATACCCTCTCGGCAACAATTCCATGCATTATTTTGATGCATTACTCATCAAATATTATACACACTATCGTTGAATAATTATTTCAGATAACATGAAATTTTTATTATAAGTAGGCAGCAGTCAAATAATTCCACTTTTAATGCGAATTATTACAGTTTATAAAATCGATTCAAATTTATTAATCCATTGAAAACAAAAACAATAATAATAAAATTTATTTAACGGTACTATTAATGTCATAAAATTTATCATAAATAAAATAATTATAATAAAAATCGTCGTTCTGAAATAAAACTATATTGAATGATTTAAATAAAATAACTTATTAATTAAAAAAAAAAAAAATGGCATCAAGTTTTGTTCGGAGGAAATTTTTGGAAAAACGAACCTATATTAAAGAACGTAATTTAGAAATAAACTAAAGCAGAAGAAAATATGTTAAAGACGATTGTTTCTTTTCTAACAATCTCAAATTTTGTTGTAGATGACATTTTGATTCGAACAATTTTTGGTTTTCTGGTTACATTACATTATAACTAATTACCTTACTTATGACTGCTCCGGCATCATAACTGAAAAACAATATGGTTTTTGTTCTGGAAAATCAACAGAGTTAAATTTAGTCACTTATATTGACTTCTTATTAGTATCTAGCCTTGGAAAAAGTTTTACAAATCGATTCTGTTTATACTGACTTTTCCAAAGCTTCTGACAGGGTTAACCATACTCTCCTACTTCAAGAGCTTAACAAATATGGTCTGGATGGGATATTACTACAATCTACAATGGATTACTAATATAACTCAAATGGTTATAGCTAATTTCCAC